AAACTATCTTGCATCATGTAGGCCAACATATTTCTGACTTACATGTCATGCATGTAGGTCAATTTAAAGGAACATGTAGTCGTACTTTAGGCCTTGTAACCAAAACATTTCTTGAAAAAAAAAAATTAACTTTAAAGATGGGGAAGGATTAAGAAAGGTTGGCATCTTTTATTTTATGATCTTGAATATAAGCTTACTCAAGACTCAAAACCCAAAACCTACGACTTGCCCTTCATTTATCCATCATGAGAATCTTTGATTAGCAACTCTAATGGCATTCCTGAAGGAGAAGCATACCAAATCACAAGCTACTTCCTACCCCCCTCTCCTGTTCCTTACATATCTACTCCCCCTCAAATCTTTCATTCATCGACATGGCATCAACTCGAAAAAGCTTCATCTTTATCTTTACGGTCTTGATTAACCGTACATACGAATTCTTCCTTTTCTCTTATAGTTTTTCGTCCATTAATGCATTAATGCTCCTGTCATCTACTATCTGATGACCAGAACATAATTATCAGATATCAGGTGACTTGTATGACTGTATTTAACAAGTTTTCGTTTGTTGGCAGTTGTGATATCACACGCATTCACGGGTACATATGGAGTGAATTATGGGAGGATAGCTGACAACATTCCACATCCGGAAAGCGTGGTGACTCTTATGAAAGCATCCAAGATCATGAACACGCGAATCTTTGATGCTGACCACGAGGTTCTCAAAGCATTTAAGGGGTCCGGCATCGAGATAATGATTGGGCTCGGGAACGAATTCTTAACAGACATAAGCATAAACGAAGATCGAGCAATGGATTGGGTGAAAGAAAACGTCGAGCCTTTCGTACCCGGGACCCGCATTGTCGGTATCGCGGTCGGAAACGAAATTTTAGGTGGCGGTAATCAAGAACTTTGGGAGGTGTTACTTCCGGCCGTGAAAAATGTCCATAATGCCCTTGTCCGGCTTAATTTAGCAGACAAAGTGAAGGTCTCGAGCCCACACTCAGCTGCGGTTTTCCAAATCTCATACCCTCCATCAGCAGGCGAGTTTAAGGAGTCCGTACTTCCCTACATGAAACCGCTCCTAGATTTTTTCTCACAAATTAAGTCTCCGTTTTACATAAACACCTACCCTTTTCTTGCATACATTAGTGACCCTGAACATATTGATCTCAATTATGCCCTTTTTAAGAAGAATCCCGGGGTTTACGATCAGAAAACTAAACTGCATTATGATAATATGTTCGAGGCTCAAATTGATGCATCGTATGCTGCATTGGAGAAAGCCGGATTTGAGAAGATGGAGGTGATAGTATCAGAAACGGGTTGGGCTTCACATGGTGACCCAAATGAAGCAGCGGCTACATTAGCAAATGCAAGAACCTACAATATGAACTTGCGCAAAAGGCTGCTTAAAAAGAAGGGTACCCCTTACAGACCAAAAATGGTGGTGAAGGCATATGTGTTCGCCATGTTCAATGAGAACCTAAAGCCTGGGCCAACTTCGGAGAGAAATTTTGGCCTGTTTAAAGCAGATGGGAGTGTTTCTTACAGTATCGGGTTCACAGGACTCGTACCTTCATCAGCGACATCTGTCTTTTCCTTGAAATTGATGTATGCCATATCTGCTGCGGCTCTGGTGCTGATTGTATCTTTGTGAAGAACTGAAACGTGTTCGGGTGTCTGAAGAGGGGATTAAATTGGACACCGTGATGTGAAGTTTGTAGGACACAGGGAGATATTATTTGGGATTTATAAAATTGTTGTCAATATGCAGTCATCCTTGAATACAAATCTTCTGTTCATTTTTCTTTCTTTTTGTTGTTATTTAAAATAGATATGCTACAATAGAATGCAATTGCGGGCGGATTAATATAACCAAGAAAATAAAAGAATGAACAAGGTAAAAAGGATCAGTCGCACCACTGTACAACACCGATCCTGTATCACATGGGAGATGTCGTGGAGTATTACTTAACGATATTTAGAGGGTGCAAAGTTTGAACTTTGAACCTTCTTTATAAAATTTAGCACTTCTACCTATAGGCTCTCATCATGGAGGCATACATAGAATGAGCAAGGTAAAAGAATTAATAGTTACATTCCTTTATCATGTTTGGTTTATTTGAAATAATGGAATGGATGAATGGTGAATAGTCATTTAGACATGTTTTTTTATGTCTGTGCAATTAAAAGAAAAAAAAAAGTTAAACAAACGCCACAACCTTGCCAAAATTATCAAGAAAACCAACAGTTTGGGACATGCGCTCAGAACTCACTTTTAGGATTCCACTCCCACCTGTTGGTTAGTTATTGCAAGGGCTTTGTTATTTAAGTGAAATTCAATTGATAAATAAAGAACAAATGTTACTTTATAAAAACAAATTTCTACTTTATATCTATCAACTCATGATATCGTTAGACCAAACGGACTTTGGTATGTGTATTTGGTAAATGAGAAAGTCTTGGATGGTGTGATAAGAGTGGTGTAAACATTTTCGGAAGAGTATGAGAAAGTCTTGGATGGTGTGATAAGAATGGTGTAAACATTTTCGGAAGAGTATGTTGTTGATATTTTCACCAAGTCTTTAAATGGATTACAACACAATTATTTGTGTGGAAAGTTGAAGTTGTTAGATCCATTCCAAAGTTGATATTGATGGAGGACACTGAAATATATATATATATATATATATAT